GGAGCTGCTGTAGCAGCATAGCCACAGTCCCCCCCTTCAGGAGAAGCCACCATTGCAGCAACACCACATTTGCCACCATGCGTGGCCCCAGTAAGTCCCTGCCTAACCCCCCAGCCTCCTTCCCTGAACCTCCTGGCCTGAGCACCCGCCCAAACAAACAGGAAAAACCCAATCCGGGTGAGAAGCCAGCGCTAGGCTCCCAGACGCACCCGGCACACAAGGCAACATATCAAAGAGGGGGCTGAATCCAAGAGGGGGGCTGCGGTCGAGTCTCACAGAAAGGACCCCATGCCTCTGAAGCTCTCCCAGTCCAACAAGAGCCACACCCATGTAATCAGCCCTTGAAAAGACCCCCTCCTGGGGCATTTCTAGGCAAGTCCACAGCACAGAAGGGGGGTTCCCCCCTCTGCTCCTCATGCCACACACCAATGCTCAAACATAACCCAGTTGGTGGCCCCGGGGACGTGCCACAAGGACACACGCCGGAGAGAAAGACTTACTTAGCTCACTCTTCTTCTTGGACACGGCCTTCTTCTTGGCAGCCCCGTCGTGCTTGGGCTCCTCTAGGCCAACCGGCGCCTCTGCTTTTTTGACAGCAGTGGCATTAACGACTGGGGCGCTCTGTAGCGTGCCGACCGGCGGGACGGCCACAACAGGCACTTCCTTGGCAGCGACCTCCAAGACGGGAGAAGATTTCGAGACCACGACCGACGGGGCAGCCGCAAGCGGGGGAGCTGGCTCCACCTTGGCCACTTTCTTTTCCTTCTTCTTCTTGTCTTTAGGGGAGGGGGCAGGTTTCTCCTTCTCCTGAGGGAGAGCGGAAACCGCCGGAATGGAAGACTCGATAATCACTGGCTCAGACAATGCAACAGGTTCAAGGTCGACGTCCTCTAGAACCAGCTCCTGCTCTGGAATTTTCCCATTCGGCTTCTCCTCCTTTTTCTTGGCCTTTCCTTTCTTCTCAACGGGTTTCTCTTTCTTCTTCTTCTCCGCTTTGTGCTGCTGGGTTCTCTCGAGCTCCTTGCGTTGCTTCGCCAGGGCTTCCTCGTAAGAAGTCTCCTTCATGGAGAAGGTAGACACCAGGAAGATCCCAATTGCTGAAATCACCATGAAGCCTCCAAAGACCATAACCCCCAGCGTCTGCGGGTCGTACAAATCCATGCTGGCTCACTTTTCGCTACCTGCAAGACACCGGAACAAGAGTTAGTGCCAAGATACAGTCTTGCAGCACTGCATCTGTTGCAGTGGGAGGGCTAGATGCGCACAATTAACACTTGCTTTTATTGCAGAAGGGCTCCATTATTCGGGTACGTCTAGACTACATGCCTCCGTCGACGGAGGCATGTAGATTAGCCAGATCGGCAGAGGGAAATGAAGCCGCGATTAAAATAATCGCGGCTTCATTTAAATTTAAATGGCTGCCCCGCTCTGCCGATCAGCTGTTTGTCGGCAGATCGGGGCAGTCTGGACGCGCCGCGCCGACAAAGAAGCCTTTTTTGATCGGCACGGGTATGCCTCGTGAAACCAGGTTTACCTGTGCCGATCAAGAAAGGCTTCTTTGTCGGCGCGGCGCGTCCAGACTGCCCCGATCTGCCGACAAACAGCTGATCGGCAGAGCAGGGCAGCCATTTAAATTTAAATGAAGCCGCGATTATTTTAATCGCGGCTTCATTTCCCTCTGCCGATCTGGCTAATCTACATGCCTCCGTCGACGGAGGCATGTAGTCTAGACACACCCTTCTAGGCACTGTACAAAAGAAAACCCATATCCAAGCAAGCCACAAACTAGCCACCACAAGGTGCGTACCGGACTGGAAAGGATGTGGTGAGGAACAGCGGAAAGGAGTTGATTTCTTAGGCTAAAGCCAGTCACTGGAGCTAGAAGTTTTAGAGAAGCTCATTCATTCTCCAGAATCCCAGAGGGCGTATGACAAGATAAAACCAGGACATGAGTCACCTTGAGTCTTGGATTCTTTCCCTTCCAGCTCTGGTGAGTCCAGAAACATGTTCATCATTTCAGATGCTCAAGGGAAATACCCATTTGCAACCAGGTAATTTTTTTTTCATGTCATCCTTTAGCAATGGAATGGGACCGTATGAACATACGTACTCATAGACGCGTGGGGTGGGACGAGACCTCTGGATGTCATTTCTAGTCCATTCCACCACCACCCCTTCCTTCCCTCCCTTCACACAGACACATCTCTCTTCTGAGGCAGCGCTAAGTTGATTAGGTCATTCCCAAGAACCGTTTGTCCAGCCTAATAAAAGCCTGCTGGTTCTTAGTACATTTAAAAGGCGGGTGCAAAGCGGAACGGACCCGGCGTGAGGTGGGCCAGCTGATTCCAGGAATCATCAGGCCCCCAGTATCCCCCCTCCCGCCCCGTGCTTCTGATTTTTAAATGTATTAAGAGCCAGCAGACTCAATACATTTAAAACACAGAGTTGCAGCATCTGGGACCGAGCGCGAGCTAGGAATCAGCTGATTCCCAGCTCAGACCCAGTCTCAGACATGGCACCTCTGCTTTTTAAAAGGCTGGTGCACAGCAGGAGGGGACCTTGTGCAAGCCAGGAGTCAGCTGTCTCTGCTCTCGTTGGATCCCTCCTGTTGCAATTCAGTCTTTTAAGTGTATTAAAAGCGGACAGGGCCAGGAGCTAACCCCGCTGCGGCTTCCCCGCTTATCGACTAGTCGATGGAAAATCCATCGACTAGTCGATTAGTTGATTAAACTAAATTTAACATCCCTAGTCCAGCCTGTTCTTAAACGCCTCCAATGATAAAAAGCAATGAGTAGTCCAGTGACACCTTAAGAGACTAAGAAAAAATATACAGAATCAAGCTTTTGTGGGCAAAACCGACTCATCAGATGAATTGGAGTGGGTTTCACAACCCCGCTTTGGAACCTGTTCCAGGGCTTAACTAGCCTTATAGTGAGGGAAGCTTTCTATTATCTAACATAAACCTCCCTCGCTTCAGATTAAGCCATTTTCTTCCTGTCCTACCTCCTGTAGACGTGGAGAACAATTGATCGCTGTCCCCCTTCTTACAGCCCTTAACGCATGTGAAGACACTGACATTACTTGATAACACACCAATATGAAGACTTCTTCATGCTCCCTGTTACAGCCAAGTGGGTAGTCACAGCATACAGCAAAAATTATTCCTTGCACACTATGCACATCAGAGCTTGTCCTTTCATGACAATCTGATGCTTGACACTTGTATTAGACAAAAAAAAAATACAGTGCAAGTCCGAGTTATTCGAGACCATGTTTTCTCTGTGGATAGAGCCAGTCTACAGGCATGAAACCGCACGCGTATAAAATAGACATCTGACTCCAAACTTACCAAGTCTATCAGTGCAAAGCGGAGACACCAGCCCATATTCTTGCTTATTACTCTACCTCTCTCCAACCCAATCTTTTTTTTAAAATAAGGGACATATCAACACCCCTCTGCCATAATATGTTAGTTTATTCAATTTCTCGAGCACCACTGTGGACAATAACCACCCATGAGCCGAACACAGTTCACTAGGATTAGCCTTTTCTTCATGCAGTACACTGTCAACCTGTGGAACTCCTTGCCAAAGGATGTTATGAAGACCAGGACTTTAACAGGGTTCAAAAAAGAACTAGATAAATTCATGGAGGTTAGGTCCATCGATGGCTAATAGCCAGGCTGGGTAGCAATGGTGTCCCTGGCCTCTGTTTGTCTGGAAATGGGTGACAGGAGAGGGATCATATGAGGATTACTTGTTGTGTTCCCTCCCTCTGAGGCATCTGGCATTGGGCTCTGTCAGCAGACAGGATACTGGGCTAGATGGACTTTTGCTTTGACTCAGTATGGTCGTTCTTATGTTCTCAGTACCCTTTCTAAAGCACCGACCCCAGCATTCCAGTCACTGAATCACTCTCCATTTGAGTCACTACAGAGCATTACGAAGGAGCACAGAGACCACCCTGATTAGAATGGCCACGCCCGCACCCCCAGAATAACGGACATTGCAGAACTCCTGGGACCTGCATAGAGGTGGCCATTTTTCAGAGCCCGCAGCTCCACCTCCGCCAGCATGACCGTGTTCACATGGTGCATGCAAAGTCATGCCGATGGGGACTAAACCACACCCCCTAAAAAGGGTGTCCCCAGTGCCCCACAGGGCAGTGATACCGACATGACAGTGACACTGAACATCCTGTACCCATCTGTCCAGTTTAAAGTCCCGGTTTGGGATAGGCTTAAAAAAAAACAACAACAACATTTTAAATCATTTTGCTACATTTTTTTTAAATGAATTCCAACTTCCATTCCAGTGCAGCCTGACCCAAACCAAGCAATCTAGTCAAACAAGTGTGCCATTCACCAGTCTTTAACCAAAGAAACCAGAAGAAGTGGGCTTGACACTATTTCCACGCACATTTAAGCAGTTGTACAGTGTAACCACACTGCTAGCAAGCAGAAGTAACACACTTTGTATAAAGGATATATCCGGTTGTGATTAGACCAAATTATATTTGTCAAACCAATGAGAATGGGACTCCTTTTTGGAAAATAACTAGAACATACAAGCGCAGTATCTCAGTCAAGGTTTCTTCCTTGATGGTTTAAAAAAAAAAAATCAGTCCACTGTATTGTTTAGTACCGTGTTGCATAGATACCCTGGTTACTAGATATTCATGTTATGATTTTTAAAATACTTCCACACCCATAGCAGCTGCTGAAAACAGTCCAGCACAGCTCCTGATGGGAAGACAATTCAGAATCCTAGAATCCTAGGGCTGGACAAGACCTCAGAGGTCACGGAGTCCAGCCCGCTGCCCAAGGCAGGACCGATCCCAACTCAATCATCCCAGCCAGGATTCTGTCCAGCCGAGACTTCAAAACCTCTAGGGATGGAGACTCCACCACCTCCGTAGGGAACCCATTCCAGTGCTTCCCCATCCTCCTAGGGAAATAGTTTGTCCTAATATCCAATCGAGACACTTGAAACCTTCTGTGCCTTCAAGATATAACACACCAGATTTGGTTCCGGACAGAACAAGCTAGGATACCCATGAGGGAGAGATGTGTATAAACACCGCACAGCCATTGTGCTTTACATCTTTGGGAGCGGGGGGGAGTTATTTTCCATCCTGCTTGGACTGGGTCAAAGCTCATGACAGTTCTCGTGGGGAAGCGGATGGGCAACTGTTTGGTTAGAATCTCTTCATTTCACAGCTTCTGCTAGCAACCGGCTAGTTAGGGTTGCCAGGCGTCTGGTATTAACCCAGACAGTCCGGTATTTTCACCTCCTGTCTGGTAAAAAAAAAAATTCAGAAAATACCAGACACCTAAGATGTCCAGTATTTTCTGATTTTTTTCCCCGGCCAGGAGGTGAAAATGCCAGGCACCTGGCAACCCTACAAACACTCAGTGCCCAGCCTCCCTCGAGTCCCCCTCTGGCCCCCAACACACCCAGCCCCCCGACCCCATGCTTACCTGGTTCCACAAGGCTGTCAGCAAAACCAAATGGCTGCTGGCTAAAAGATCAAGGGGAAGCAATGACTCCCCTGGGTCTTAGTGCTCAACCGCTCCCCTGTTCCTATCCCTGCACTCACTCTTAAAGGGGACATGCTGTTTTAATGCTGTTTTATTTTAATTTTTTGTTGTTTTTTTGTTTGCTTAATAAGTCTTTTGGGGTTTTTTGCGCAACAACTTTGGTCTCCCCCCCCCTTTTTTTTCCTTCAACAGAATTTTTTCCCGTTTTTTTTTTTTTTTTTTGAGGGGGCGGGGTGTTCGGTATTTTTGTTTCAACCATCTGGCAACCCTACGGCTAGGTGACCCAGCACGAATCACTTCCCACCTCCCCGGGCCTCAGTTTCCCTCACAGCCCTGTGCCTTGTCTATTTAGGTCATAAACTCTCGAGGGCAAGAACCTCTTGCTACACAGCAAAGTCTTCATTACCAAAACGGGTTTGCAGGGCTTGTAGGAGAAGCCAAGCCCTCCCTGGGTTGCAGGCGTGTTGCTGCCTTCCCAGGACCACGGTCTTCCTTATCCTTTCTTGGGCCTTTGCTCCAGCTTCTTCCGGGACTTCCAGCAAATCAGCCCCACTGGCAGCCTCTTCCCCAGGCTTCCTACGGTGCCATCTGCCACCCAGCTGGCTCTGTGGCGGTAGCATTTCTTCCCTTTCCCCTCAGAGC